GGCATGTGCCACTTTGCCCAGCTAATTTTTGTATTTTTAGTAGAATCGTGGTTTCATCATGTTGGCCAGGATGGTCTCTATCTCTTGACCTCGTGATCCGCCTGCCTCGGCCTCCCAAAGTGTTGGAACGACAGGCGTGAGCCACTGTGCCCAGCCCATTTTGAGAAAATTTTAAGTGCTAAACTGTCCTTATTTTATCAGAAACACATTCGGAGCAAAATAATGGCCACAAGAACCTCAGAAACCTTTGTTGTGCCAAGGATAACCTGGTGCTGAAAGGAGTGGATTAGACATAAAGTACAGAGTAAAAATAGGGAGATGATAGTGGGAACTGTATCCAGATAAAAAGACAAACAGCTTGACTGAAGGGGAAAGTGCTAGAGGGCAAGACATTAATCCAAATAGGTTATCATAGGGTCAGGTATTGAGGGGCCTTGTGAGCCAAAAAGCGGTGGTAATTGCAACATACATTTTTTGCAAAACACCGTTTTTGAGGAAATTAAGTCCTGTTCTTTGTGAAATGAATGAATCTTTACTTCTCTGTCCAGAAAGCATAAGTGGTTTTCCATTGCCAGCGTCTGAGGTATGGTTCTTTGTATTTTATTCAAGACAGTCCAAACTTTGGGGGCAACCAGCACATCTTTTGCTTGTTTTACTACCCTCTCCTCTGTCCTGTGCTTTTTTTTTATTTTTTATTTTTTTGAGACGGAGTTTCGCTCTTGTTACCCAGGCTGGAGTGCAATGGCGCGATCTCGGCTCACCGCAACCTCCACCTCCTGGGTTCAGGCAATTCTCCTGCCTCAGCCTCCTGAGTAGCTGGGATTACAGGCACACGCCACCACGCCCAGCTAATTTTTTGTATTTTTAGTAGAGACGGGGTTTCACCATGTTGACCAGGATGGTCTCGATCTCTTGACCTCGTGACCCACCCGCCTCGGCCTCCCAAAGTGCTGGGATTACAGGCTGAGCCGCCGCGCCCGGCCCTGTCCTGTGCTTTAAGCCGGTTCTTTTTCTTACTCATAATTAATTCCCACATGTATTTATTCTACCCAAAAATCCAAACTCTTCCCCTGCAGAATATACCCTCTGCCCCCATACTGCCAAACTCTGCCTTTAAATGTCCTGTTCATGTTTCAGGGTTCCATTCAAATTCCACATTTATGAAGCATTTTTCTATCACACCTGGTTATGTTATCCTTCTCCAAACCTACCTAATTTTACCTTTAACCATTGTACTACCTATTTTGTCCTTTATGTTAGAGAGTAACTCCTATAATATAGGACCAGGCCTTGCCCATCTCTCCGTAGTTCTTATACTGCCTCACAGGGGGTCCTGGCATAAGGAGTCTTTTCTGACTGCTAACATGGATACAATGTTAAGATGTCTGGACAGAATTGGAGAAGAGTGTCTCTAATAGAAGTAGCAAAAGCTTTGTTTGAGCTGTATTCTTGGCCAAAAATACAAAACTTTTTTTTTTTTTTTTTCCTTTGAGACACAGTTTCACTCTGTCACCCACGCTGCAGACTGGAGTGCAGTGGCACTCTGCTCACTGCAATCTCTGCCTCCCCAGTTCAATCGAGTCTCATGCCTCAGCCTTCCAAGTAGCTGGGATTACAGGCACATTCCACCACACCTAGCTATAAATTTTATTTTTAATATTATTATTTGATACAGAGGCTTGCTCTGCGGCTCTGGTTGGAGGAAGTATAGTGGCCTGATCTCGATTAACTGCAACTTCCACCTCTCAGGTTCAAGCAGTTCTGCCTCAGCCTCCCGAGTAGCTGGGATTACAGGCGTGTGCCACCCCACCTGGCTAATTTTTGTATTTTTAGTAGAGACAGGGTTTCACCGTGTTGGCCAGGCTTGTCTGGCTCTCCTGATTTCAAGTGATTCCTCCTGCCTCAGCCTCCCAAAATGCTGAGATTATAGGTGTGAGCCACTGCACCTGGCCTAAATTTTAATTTTGAAGTAACCTAAGTTTGTATGCACTTGTGAGTTTTGTTAGATCAGTTCATTGCCTTGAAGTAGATGATTGTTCACAACTGTTTTACTTTTTTTTTTTTTTTTTTAGATGAAGTGTCACTCTGTCACTCTGGCTGCAGTGCAGTGGCACAATCTTGGCTCACTGTAACCTCCCCCTCCCCAGTTCAAGTAATTCTGCCTCAACCTCCCAAGTAGCTGGGATTTACAGGCATGTGTTACCACACTGGCTAATTTTTGTATTTTTATCTTTATTTACTTACTTATTTAGAGATGAAGTCTCGCTCTGTAGCCCAGGCTGGGGTGCACTGGCTGGGATTACAGGCGACCATCACCATACTGAGCTAACTTTTGTATTAAAGTAGAAATGGGGTTTCACGATGTTGGCCAGGCTGGTCTTGAACTTTTGACCTCAAGTGATCCACCATCCTCAGCCTCCCAAAGTGCTGGGATTCCAGGCATGAGCTGCTATGCTGCCTGGCCTGACCTATTTTACTCTTTTTTTTCCTTTTTCTTTTTTTTTTTAAGATATGGGATTCTACCATGTTAGCCAGGATGGTCTCCAACTCCTGACCTCAGGTGATGCACTTGCCTTAGCCTCCCAAAGTGCTGGTATTACGGGCATGAGCCAACATGCCCAGCCTTTACTTTGCTCTTATTTAGGTAATGTCATTCACAAGATTTTTGTTTGTTTTTTGTTTTTGAGACAGAGTCTCACTCTTGCGCAGGCTGGAATGCACAGGCATGTTCTCAGCTTACTATGACCTCTTACCTCCAGGGTTCAAGCTATTCTCATGCCTCTGCCTCTCAAGTAGCTGGGATTACAGGTGTGTACCACCATGCCTGGCTAATTTTTGTATTTTTATTAGAGATGGGGTTTCGCCATGTAAGCCAGGCTTGTCTTGAACTCCTGACCTCAACTGATCCACCAGCCGTGACCTCCCAAAGTGCTGGGATTACAGGCATGAGCCGCTGTGCCTGGCCCATTCACAAACTTTAAGAGCCAAAAACTATGAATTGGCTGATTTGTTTTCTGTTTTCTATTGTTTATTCAGTTTGGTTGGTGTTAATTGAGTACTTACCAACCTGGGCACAGTACTAAAGAGTAAAATGCACTTGTTAGATGTGATTCTTATCCTCAGGAAATTCATGATCTCATTGGGGGGCTGTGGGGAGAGATACCAAGTTGATGGTATGACATGGGGCAGTTTTGTGTGGTGTCTACAAGCAGGGCCATTGCAGTCTAAATCTAAGTTCTGAGTTTGGCTTCAAAAAACTTTGACAGAGAGGGGAAAATGGGGAACTGCTACTCAGTAGGTATAAAGTTCCAGTTATGCAAGATGAATAAGTTTTAGAGATCTGCTACACAACATAGTTCCTATGTTAATCTTATGGTATTGTGCACTTTGAATTATATTGAGGATGGATCTCGTGATAAATGTTCTTATCGCCAAAAACAAAAATGCAAGGAAATTTTGGAGGTACGTTTAGTACTTCATATTAATAGTGTCACAGATATATGCATATGTCCAAATTCATCAAAATGTATACATTAAATACATGTAAGCTTTTTGTATGTCAATTATACCTTAATAAAGCTTTATTTATTTATTTTTTTGAGATGGAGTTTTGCTCTTGTTGCCCAGGCTGCAGTGCAATAGCTTGATGTTGGCTCACCACAACCTCTGCCTCCTGGGTTCAAGTGATTCTTCTGCCCCAGCGTCCCAAGTAGCTGGGATTACAAGCATGTGTCACCATGCCTAGCTAATTTGGCATTTTTAGTAGAAAGAGGGTTTTTCCATGTTGGTCAGGCTGGTCTCGAACTCCCAACCTTAGCTGATCCGTCTGCCTTGGCCTTCCAAAGTGCTGGGATTACTGGCATGAGCCACCGTGCCTGTCTACCTTAATAAAGCTTTTTATAAAACATTGGCAGGGCCAGGCACGGTGGCTCACACGTGTAATTCCAGCACTTTGGGAGGCCTAGGTGGGAGGATTGCTTGAGCCCAGGCGTTCAAGGCCTGCCTAGAAACATGGCAAGACCCAATCTTTGCAGAAAATTAAGCTAATTCACATGTGCATTATCTCACATCGGTGTCATTTTTTGTGATGAGAACACTTAAAAATCAACTTTCAATTATCTTCAGGCATACGTTATTATTAACTATAATCATGATGTTATACAACAGATCTCTTGAACTTATGCCCACTGACTGAAATTTTATGTCATTTGACCAATGTCTTCCCCTCTACATGTGTAAGATTTAAACTAGTTTTGTTAGTGATTCTTTAATATCATCGGATATCCAGTTGAAATTTCTAATTGTCTTGTGTCACATTTTTTTTCACCATTTATTGGTTTGAATCAGGATTCATTCATTGTGATTGATTACTGTCTCTTAAGACTCTTTTCTCTACATCAGAGTTTCTCATCTGCAGTGCTCTTGACATCTTGAGCCTGATAGTTCTTTGTGGTGGAGAACTGACCTGTGCCTTGGTGGATGCTTAATAGCATTTCTAGCCTCCACCCACTAGATATCAGTAGTACATCCCAGCCCAGTAGGAACAACCAAAAATGTCTTAGCCAGATGTTCCTAGAGGCAAGTCACCCCAGGCTGAGAACCAGTGATCTAGTGGTTCTGCCTCCAATCTTCCCTTACATTCTTCTGGTTATTGATTTGCAGAAGAAACTGAGTATAATCTTGCAGTGTTTCCCTCAGTATGGATATCACTGACTTAATCCCTGTACTGTAATTTAACACCCTCAGTCACCAATTTTCTGTTAATTGGGGTTGGAGCTAGAGACTTGATTGGTTTCAGAGGTTTTGGGTTTGTTTGACAAGATTGCTTTATAGGTAGTGGTTTTTTCTTCCATCAAGAGGCACATAATGTTTGTTGTGTCTTTTTTAATATTAACCGTTGATGCCTGATTCATTCACCATGGTCTTTTTGTTTTAAAATGTATGTTTTTATTTAGACGTGCTTTGCTTTACATAACAATCTGTATTCTCCCTTAATAAAGGAAGGGGAAATGGAAGGTGAGGCGGTCGAAGCCATTGTGGAGGAGTCCGAAACTTTTATTAAAGGAAAAGAGAGAAAGACTTACCAGAGACGCCGGGAAGGGGGCCAGGAAGAAGATGCCTGCCACCTACCCCAGAACCAGACGGATGGGGGTGAGGTGGTCCAGGATGTCAACAGCAGTGTACAGATGGTAATGATGGAACAGCTGGACCCCACCCTTCTTCAGATGAAGACTGAAGTAATGGAGGGTACAGTGGCTCCAGAAGCAGAGGCTGCTGTGGACGATACCCAGATTATAACTTTACAGGTTGTAAATATGGAGGAACAGCCCATAAACATAGGAGAGCTTCAGCTTGTTCAAGTACCTGTTCCTGTGACTGTACCTGTTGCTACTACTTCAGTAGAAGAACTCCAGGGGGCTTATGAGAATGAAGTGTCTAAAGAGGGCCTTGCGGAAAGTGAACCCATGATATGCCACACCCTACCCTTGCCTGAAGGTTTTCAGGTGGTTAAAGTGGGGGCCAATGGAGAGGTGGAGACACTAGAACAAGGGGAACTTCCACCCCAGGAAGATCCTAGTTGGCAAAAAGACCCAGACTATCAGCCACCAGCCAAAAAAACAAAGAAAACCAAAAAGAGCAAACTGCGTTACACAGAGGAGGGCAAAGATGTGGATGTGTCTGTCTATGATTTTGAGGAAGAACAGCAGGAGGGTCTGCTATCAGAGGTTAATGCAGAGAAAGTGGTTGGTAATATGAAGCCTCCAAAGCCAACAAAAATTAAAAAGAAAGGTAAAACAAGTTTATCACAGTGGTTTTATAAAACCATTTTGGGATAAGCATAGTGCACATGCACATTGTTTTATATTAACCATATTTGTAAAAGGTTGTTATGTGGGTACCACTTTTTAAAACCAGTCTAAAAGAAGTTTTTTCCAGATTGAGTGCTCTTCTTTTAATTCTAAAGAAGAAGTAAATGTATTAGTAACATGAGAATTATGACTTAATATAACTTATATTGGTTTTGTTATTAAAAACTAATAAAATATATTTGTAGAAATTTAAGATAAGGATTAATCTTAACACTTTGAAACACTGCAGCAAATAAGTGTTTTATTTTGCATGTAGGTGTAAAGAAGACATTCCAGTGTGAGCTTTGCAGTTACACGTGTCCACGGCGTTCAAATTTGGATCGTCACATGAAAAGCCACACTGATGAGAGACCACACAAGTGCCATCTCTGCGGCAGGGCATTCAGAACAGTCACCCTCCTGAGGAATCACCTTAACACACACACAGGTGCTGCTGGATGAGAATGTTGGGGACTACAACAGCAAATGTTCAGACTTGGCTTTTTAGTATCATTCAAGCTGACTCTAGCGACAATTTAAAGGAAGTTTTTATAATTTTTTATGATGTCCTTTTTGTAATCTTGATTTTATTGTAAGCTCTTGGACTTAGTTATTATAGACAAATGTAAAGAAAATTTAATGAAAAGTAACAACACCCTATTTCTTTAAAAATGTCTCAAGCAATATGAGGAAGAATATTAGAAATAGAAGTGACTGCCTGGCACGGTGGCTCACACCTGTAATCCCAGCACTTTGGGAGGCCGAGGCAGGTAGATCACCTGAGGAGTTCGAGACCAGCCAGGTGAAATCCTGTCTTTTAAAAAACAAAAAAAGAAATAGAAGTGACATCCTACCTTTATTTTAAAAAAATAAATAAAAATAAAAAAGGCCAGGCACAGTGACTGATGCCTGTCATCCCAGCACTTTGAGAGGCTAAGGCAGGCGGATCACTTGAGACCAGAAGTTGGAGACCAGCCTGGCCAACATGGCAAAACCCCATCTGTCTACTAGAAACACATAACATTAGTCAGGTGTGGTGGCGGGTGCCTGTAATCCCAGCTACTCAGGAGGCTAAGGCAGGAGAATCGTTTGAAACCCAGGAGGCAGGTGTTGCAGTGAGCCAAGATTGCGCCACTACACTCCAGCCTGGGCGACAGAGTGAGACTCCGTCTCAAAAACAAAATAAAAAGACGTTTTTTGTTTCTGGTTGTTTCACATCAAGGAAGATAAGTAATTTCAGAATGGAAAACTTAAGGCGTTATTGTGACAATTCACACATTTGTTTGAGCACCTTACATACTTCACCGTTCAGTTATTCTGATACTAGCCTTATGGTGGCTGTGGCCAGGTTCCAAGAGGTCTCTAAAGTGTAGGGACTCTGTGTACTAAACCTCTCTTTAAGCTCTTCTGGGCCGTTTATCTCAGTGTCGGTACTTGGCTACAAGTGTTCTCACATGATTTTTCATGCAGAATAACTTTCTTCTATCCATATTCTATATTTCATTTTATATCACAACTCCTGTTTTTGTTTTTTAGGCTTTTAAAAATTTCTAATGATGCTGGGCACTGTGGCACGTGCCCGTAGTCCCAGCTACTCGGGAGGCTGAGGTGGGAGGATTGCTTGACAAGTTGTGGGCTGTAGTGTGCTATGCCGATCATGTCTAAGTTTGGCATTAACATGGTGCCCTCCCAGGAGCGAGGGACCACCAGGTTGCGTAAGGAGTGGTGAACTGGCCCAGGTCAGAAACGGAGCAGGTCAAACTCTTGTGCTGATCAGTAGTGGGATCGTACCTGTGTATAGCCACTGCATTCCAGCCTGGGCAACATAGCGAGGCCCCGTCTCTTTAAAAAATAAAAAATTTTAAAAAAGAAAAAAATTTCAAATGACAACTTTTGTTTTAGATTTGTTGTGCTGGTTGTCCGATGACCGTGATCAAGTAGGTGTTAATCACAAACAGTATGCTGTACATGAGTGCATTCTTCACTAATGTGACTTAGTAACTTCCTAACTTCTCCCCAATTTCTACCCAAGACACTTGATAATATGCTTTATTTGGTACTTTGAAGACACTAGGATGGAGCATATGACTAAATAAAAGTAACTAGGTAATCCCAGCACTTTGGGAGGCCAATGGGAGTATATCACTTGAGGACAGGAGTTTGAGACCAGCCTGGCCAGAATGGCAAAACCTCCTCTCTACTAACAATACCAAAGTCAGCCGGGTGTGGTGGTGCACACCTGTAAACCAGCTACTTGGGTGGCTAAGGCAGGAGAATCACATGAATGCAGGAGGCAGAGGTTGCATTAAGCCAGGATCGTGCCACTGCACTCCAGCCTAGGTGGCAGAGCAAGACTCTGCCTTACAAAATAAATAAATAAATAAATGGCCCCATAACAGGACTTCCCAAGATGGATGTGCCTTGATGTGGATTTTCTCTGTCTAATCTCCAGCTTTGAAAATAAGAGGTGTAGTTTGTCTTGGTTACTCAGCAGATTTGGCAGGACTGATCCCTACCAACAAAACTCACAAGAGCAGATGCATGATACACCAAGAGTATCATTTTATGGTGAGAAGTACACCTTTTTATGTTCCAGATGCAGTTGTATTGCATTCTAGGAGGCGCCTTTACCTCTGTTAAGATCGTGTATTGGCCAGACGTGGTGGCTCTTGTCCGTAATCCCAGCACTTTGAGAGGCTGAAGCGGGTGGATCACCTCAGGTCAGGAGTTCAAGACTATCCTAGCCAATGTGGCGAAACCCTGTCTTCACTAAAAATACAAGAATTAGCTGGGCGTGGTGGCACATGCCTGTAGTCCCAGCTGCTCGGGAGGCTGAAACAGGAATCACTTGAATCCAGGAGGCAGAAGTTGCAGTGATTGGAGATCACACCACTGCACTCCAGCCTGGACGACAGAGCAAGACTCTGTTTCAAAAAAAAAAAATGCTGTAGCAATTGAAAGCTGACTTGGTAAAGATGGGCCTTGATGGCTGGGCATGGTGGCTCATAACTGTAATCTCCACACCTGGGAGGCTGAGGTGGGTGGATCACTTGAGGTCAGGAGTTTGAGACCAGTCTGGCCAATATGGTGAAACCCCATCTCCACTAGAAATACAAAAATTAGCCAGGTGTGGTGGCATGTACCTGTATTCCCAGCTACTTGGGAGGCTGAGGCAGGAGAATTGCTTCAGCCTGAAAGGCATAGATTGTAGTGAGCCAAAATCATGCCACTGCACTACAGCCTGGGTGACAGAGCAAGAGACTTCGTGTCAAAAAAGGAAAAAAAGAGGATAGGGCCTCGAGCGAAGGGATGTAGCTGGTCATGTAATACAGCCATGGAAATCCCTGCCCCACAGCAGTGACCACTTCTTTGCTGATTGCCATGCTTATGTCTGTCAGAGGCAGGCCTCTTTCTCCCCTGGATAGTACTAGGCAAACACCGGCATTTATTTATTTATTTTATTTATTTATTTTTAAGAGGTGAGGTCTCGCCATGTTGGCCAGGCTGGTCTTAAACTCCTGACCTCAGGTGATCCCCTCACCTTGGCCTCCCAAAGTACTGGGATTACATGCGTGAGCCACTGTGCCCAGCCTAATTGTTATTTTTTTTTGAGACAGAGTCTCACTCTGTTGCCCGATCGGAGTGCAGTGGCGCGATCTCGACTCACTACAACCTCCGCCTCCTGGGTTCAGGTGATTCTCCTACCTCAGCCTCCCAAGTAGCTGGAACTACAGGTACCCACCACCACACCCAGGTAATTTTTATATTTTTAGTGGAGACGGGGTTTTACCACATTGGCCAAGATGGTCTCAATCTCGACCTCGTGATCCAACTGCCTTGGATCACCAGGAATTACAGGTGTGAACCACTGTGCCAGGCCACTGGCATTTATTTTTTAGCTTACTTGGTTCTAAAAGAAGACCAGGCATGGTGGCTCACACCTGTAATCCCAGCATTTTGGGAGGCCGAGGCAGGAGGATTGCTTGAGCCCAGGAGTTTCAAACAAGACTGGGCAACATGTCAAGACCCCATCTCTACAAAATATAAAAAAGCCTGGTGTGGTGTTACAAAACTGTAGTCTCAGCTACCGGAAAAGCTGAAGTAGAAGGATCACTTGAGTCTGGGAAATCAACACCACAGTGTGCCTTGATCATATCACTGCACTCCAGCTGAGCAACAGAGGAAGACCCTGTCTCAAAAAGAAAAGAAAACTGGATTCTACTTTTTATTCTCTTGTTAATTATTTTACTTATCTGTATTACCAGACTATATACACTTTTCACAGGAAGAATTCTGTGCTTTACTGTGAATGCTTAGTGGTACTAAAGAAGCAAATTGAATGAACAAACGAACATTTCTTGGAATTGCTTAGTTTTTATTGTACTCCAGTCATTCTTCCTCTCTCCAGCATTTTCTTCATTCTCAAAGAGAATCATTTCTGCAGATGGCTGGTTCCATTCATTACATTGTGGTTCTTCCTAATTCTGTTCTCAAAGGCAGCCTTCCTTTGGTTTTAGTGTTTGGGACTATTTTGCTGTCACCCCTTACCTGCTGCCCACAATTACAGATGGTCACTAGTCTGTGAAACTAGCACTACATTGTGCTGTCAGTTTTGCCTCTAAGATTACTTCAGAGAAAGACAACAAGAAATGTATAGCGTATATTATTCATAAAAATGTTTAAATATTGGATGAATTGACATTCAGAATGATCACAGCATATTAGACATAGATATTTGAAAATGATTTGTTTAAATCACATAAAAGGCAGTAATATGTAAAGCCTGTGATAAGCCTCTGAAATCCCTTATCATGACAGATATGTACAGAAAACAAGTTGTATGCTTGTGTTTTATTTTAGAGACGGAGTTTCGCTTTTGTTGCCCAGGCTGGAGTGCAGTGGCACTATCTCAGCTCACCACAACCTGCGCCTCCTGGGTTCAAGCGATTCTTCTACCTCAGCCTCCTGAGTAGCTGGGATTACAGGCATGTGCCACCACACCCATCTCATTTTATATTTTTAGTGGAGATAGTGTTTCTCCATGTTGGTCAGGCTGGTCTCCAACTCCCCACCTCAGGTGATCCATCTGCTTTGGCCTCCCAAAGTGCTGGCATTATTGGGGTAAGCCACTGCACCCAGCCTGCTTGTGTTTTTAAAAGAAAATTTCAGAATATGGACAGCCCAGTGGCTCTTCTGTTATATAGTCATAGAACAGATCTGTTTTGCAAAAGGATCTCAAGTCAAATACTCATTAATTCTCTAACCTGTACTTGAAGGTTTTTTTTGTTGTTGGTGGTGGTGTTTTAAAAGAGATGGGCTCTTGCTATGTTGCCCAGGCTGGTTTCAAACTCTTGGGTCCCCAGAGTTCTGGGATTACAGGCGTGAGCCACCAAACCTAGTCTCTATTTTAATCCATAATGACCAGGATTTTCACAAAATAGGAAGAGGGAAGTTTTTATATTCAAAGGCAGCAGATTTGGATGGGTAATTAAGAGAAACTAAATGTTTGGCATGTGTTCTAATATCCTGGAGTTAGTATTATAAATTCATCGAGGGCCTCCCACAAAGCTTTTGGAACTACTTTCAACTCAGTGCAGTTGATGGGATGACTAGGGTCCAGTCACACAACAATTCTGTGCCACACATTGAACTCTGTCATTAACTGTTCTCTTGATCTTGCTCTTCGTGTTATTCCATCTTTTCTCTAGGTACTCGTCCTCACAAGTGCCCAGACTGTGACATGGCCTTTGTGACCAGTGGAGAATTGGTTCGGCATCGTCGTTATAAACACACCCACGAGAAGCCATTCAAGTGTTCCATGTGTGATTACGCCAGTGTAGAAGTGAGTGTTGAGCTTTTTGTTGGTATATCTCTTAGGCAGACCATGATTTATTTCAGTACAAGGCTCTAACTACCCAAACTGACTTAAGATAAGTTCGAAAAATGTTAGTAAATTCTTGACAGTCCCACACAACACCCTCCCCCAAAAAGCTTATGATGAGTAGGAAAGATTTACCTGATAAAAAGAGTACCAGACTGGGTGCGGTGGCTCACACCTGTAATCCCAGCGCTTTGGGAGACCAAGGCAGGTGGATCACAAACTCAGGAGTTCAAGGACCAGCCTTGCCAAGATAGTGAAATCCTGTCTTTACTAAAAATACAAAAAAAATAGCCAGGCATGTTGGCAGGCACCTGTAATCCCAGCTACTCGGGAGGTTAGGGCAGAGAATTGCCTGAATCTGGGAGGTGGAGGTTGCAGTGAGCCAATATCATGCCAATGCACTCCAGCCTGGGCAACAGAGCAAGACTCCTTCTAAAACAAAAAAAAAAGTACCAGTTTCTGGCCACGTGTGGTGGCTCACACCTATAATCCCAGTACTTTCGGAGGCCAAGGAGGATAGATCACCTGAGGTTGGGAGTTCAAGACCAGCCTGACCAACATGGAGAAACCCTGTCTCTACTGAAAAATGTAAAATTGGCATGGTGGCGCATGCTTGTAATCCCAGCTACGCAGGAGGCTGAGGCAAGAGATTGCTTGAACCTGGGAAATGGAGGTTGCAGTGAGCCAAATCTTCGCCATTGCACTCCAGCGTGGGCAATAAAAGTGAAACTCTGTCTCAAAAAAAAAAAAAAAAAAAAAAAAAGATACCAGTTTCACATGTTAGTACAGGCAAATTCTACCAAACTTTGAAAAAACAACTGTACCCAGAGCATTTTTAAATGGTAGGCTTATCAATTTTATTATTTGAAGCTACTCTGTTACCAAAACTGGGTAAGAAAACTACCAAAAAGAAAAGTTATTCTTAAAGAGAAGCAAAAATTCTAAATGAAATTATTAGCCAATGAGCCAACCTAATTTAGTAATGTGTTCTGAAAAAAAAAAAGAGCCGGGCACGGTGGCTCAAGCCTGTAATCCCAGCACTTTGGGAGGCCGAGGCGGGTGGATCACGAGGTCAAGAGATCGAGACCATCCTGGTCAATATGGTGAAACCCCGTCTCTACTAAAAATACAAAAAATTAGCTGGGCATGGTGGCACATGCCTGTAATCCCAGCTACTCAGGAGGCTGAGGCAGGAGAATTGCCTGAACCCAGGAGG